ACATTTTTGTACATCCTTTGATGATCTTTGTTTCTTACGCGCAATTGGAAGATATAACACACACGAACGTCTTTTAATTTCGTACCTTAATTTGATGAACACGAGTTTGTCAATGCAAAATGTTCGGTGAATGTAGCATTTTTCAAGCCACCCAGGAAAGACATCGTTAACTTCATTTATACAAACAGAAACTAAAATTTTCTTGACGCCAATGCTTGTAATTAAACTATTTACATTTCTTTCAAAGGCACTCATGCAGATGTCCATCACATTGCAAAACTCACTAGACGGCACTTTTAAGTTTCCAAAATCTGAGGGTATTTTGGTGCTGTACGCTTTGAAGGGTACAAATAACTCATCGTTATTTTCCAGGAATTTATTTTGTTTTGAACACAACTCGGAACATTTTTAAGACAGGAGTATTTCTTTTCTAAGTGATATAAAATAACTCTGCTTAAGTACGTTACCGCGTACACAAAAAGTCAACAAAACTAAAACTTTAAGGCTATGTGAAGAAATATTTAACAAAATCAGCAGAATAAATAATAGTTGCTAGACAGCACAATAAAACAAGTCTACTGCAATGCACTGCTTGTGTACTTAATACACATTAATAAATAAAGGAACAACTGACTTTTGGCCCTATAGGGATGTAAAAACCTGCTCGGCCAAAAAGTGACGACGACACAGCTGGCATGGGCAGCAAAATGTAGCTTTCAGCCTCCAATAAACGTTTGTAAAACAGCTAAAAACCTCATAGTGTGATGAAGAAATAATTATTTATGTTCTTTATGCAACTACAGCTGTTGCACCTTGCTACAATTGACTATGAGTTGCATACGTACTATAAATTTGGCAATGGACAACATATTAGGGACTATGAAAATTATAAAAAATTGATATTCAGCGAGTAATTCGGATAACTTCTCAGGATGAAATAAATATTTATCCCTCGTCTTTACAGCTACTACTCCAATTTTTTGCCGGTAAAAGAATGATGGGATACGGTACAATAATTTATTGTCTTTTTTTAAATTTTCAATTGAAATATTCTTTGTTCATACATTTGTACAATGGTGTCAAAGTTTACAAAAAGAAATAGAAATGACGACAATCCTATGTATAACAACCGTTATACTAATTTTTTTTCTAAATTAAAAGTAAATTACTCAATGTTTGTGGTATGTAAATTCATTTTCTGACCAATTGATTAAATTTTATTATATAGGTTATTATTAGCGTGTATTACATAGGCTACTAATGTAATACGCAAGCAGTTTTTTGTGACAATTACTCTGCATTTCTAAAACAGTTGTAGGTAATATTCAAAAAGGAATTCTTTGTAGAGGGTAGTTTTAACTATAAAAGAACGTCTTGCTTAACCATCTTTTGATAATTTAATATATTATTAACTAAATAATTATAACGTTGATAATGTCCTATTTTGTTAATACATGATTATTTTAATAACTTTAATAATTTTAATAACATTGTGGTCTTTAACATGTCATGAAAATAACGAAAAGTTAAAAGACCTTAGGTATTCGTACAAATGGTACAATTTAAACGCCGACCGGCCACTCATAGTCTTGGCCTATAAACACCAAAGCGATCCGTTACGTTCTCTTCCAGCTTGGAGTTGAGTAAATAGTGGAATTTGACGAGCAGGAAGAGCAATTGACATGCGCGCGCTACACTGCGGGAAAAATGTAAACTAGAGCACCCGCGCAACAGCCGTCCCATATCCTTCTTCACTCTGTTTATATTACTTCACTGTGGATTAGTTCTTAATCCTATTCTCTAATACGAGCTAAAACTCAATAACTCGGTTATTGAACCAAGTATAACTTAGACATATTTGATATGGCTGTTTGACTGTCTGTCTGTAATTTAAATGCCTTTGAAGAAAGGAAAATGTGTCTTAAAGGAAAACAAAAATATCGATATATCAAAAAGAAATCATCGATAATAATTAATGTTTCCCTTAACCTGAAAGTACCTAAGGGGCGGTTCACGAGCTCGGGACCATCGTAGTCCGAGCCCAGAATCCGGAAATAACCGGTATTTGGTCCGCGACTTAAAAAATCGGGTTCACGAGCTCGAGACTTTATAAGCCGCGGACCAAACTGATAGGCTGCACACAATTAAGCAGGGATAAAACCCGGTTTAAAAAGTTGGGTTCACGAGTCCAGTTACAGATAGTCCCGGCTTCTGATCATTAGTCCCGGTGGGTTCACGAGTCAAGTCCGAGCCCAAATGAGATGGTTCGGGCCCAAAAGAACAATGGTGTTTGGTCCCCAACTCAGACATGGTAGGAGGCAGGTTTAAGGTGACATCATGCCGGTTTTATCTAATTAGCTCCTTTATTTTTATTATTTTTTAAAAACATGGTGAAAAGGCTTATAAAACATGAAAAAAATCATCAAACAACTTAAAATGACAGATAAATTATGCACTTAACAAAGTAGTATCATAACAAAGATATTTTTACTGATAAACCCCATGTTATTACAATTTTAACGATACAATTATGCGTAGAATATAAATATAACCAATCAGCCACAGTTTAACCACCGTTATCTAACATAATTATCAGAAATAGTTTTTTTGTCGTGGTTGTGCACATCAAGCAAACCGACAGTCGTTGAGTACGGTTCGCGATGATATCACCGTCTTGTGTTGTACTCACTGGTCGCCGTGTGTATTGAATATGACTATGAAATATCTATACTGTATTATGTTAACAACTACGTACCACCACTCCACTACCTCGCATAGATAGGACCAGCTCGTTATCATGACTAAAACCCTTTTATGACTTGGTGAATTTAAAGATGGATTTAGATGTTCCAAAGATGCCGTCAATGAGCCATTTGAGGTGTTCAATCTAAGGCACGGATTTCCCGACAACAAAAACCATTACAGTATTCTAAATTGAAAAAGAAATGTTAGTTGCACTAATATTTTTGGCTGATGACACTTTTCATTGAGAAACTGGTGATTTATTGGATGTTAGTAAAGCTTAGATGGTAGCTATTTGTTTGGTAATGAAAGCAGAATAAATAACATTTTCAGTTCAAAACTATGCTAAAAGAATTAAAAAAAAATTTTTTTCTAAATATGAACGCATTTTAATACCAATGAAACTGACTTTAAAAAAACCAGGGCTGTTTACATAAATAATATTACTAGCGAACTACAGAATATTATTTCAACATTTTACAGCTGGATAATTAAAGAGTGTAAGAATAACGGAAAGATTATTCTTGGATTACAACCATGATAAAGATCAGCTCACAGAAAAGATTTTTATAGGTATCTAAATAGTCAGTACCCCCAAATACATTTTAGTTTCAATAATTGTACCATTTAAATAAGTTTAGTTAAAATCAGTCTATCAAGAAATCACCATCCTAAATTATTAGGCACTTATGCCTAATAGGCATTGATCCGGTTATAAATAACCGGTTATTTTATGTCATGCATCTTAATTGGATTACAATGATGCACACAGAAAAATGTATTTCACTAAAGACTTCCATTTTCTGATTCCATACAAACGTGGCTTGTGTTTATAAATCAATAAACTTTGATAGATTTTTATAGGCGACCATTGAGACAACCAAATACGCAAAAAATAATTCAAAATTCATGTTTTCGGCCCCTGGACTATATTGTTAAGACAATAATAGGTTTTTTACATACCTCAGTCAAATAGTCCAAAAATGGTATTGCTCAACAGCTTACATGTTTCGTTGCGAAGACAACATTATCAAAGCTTGCAACTCGTCAAAAACACATTTAAAACACGAACACGAACACAGAAGACATTAATACGGTACGAATACACGATTGACATTTAGATAGCGCTATCATAATACTGATTTGGTCCGGCGCGGCGCGGGGCTGGTAGCAGACTGGAGGTCACGTCACGTCGTCTCCTCTACTGTTATCACTGATGTTATCAGATCTTCGATCAGCTGTTCCTGAGTTTAATATTGTATTAAAAATCGAGTGAGACTGGAACTGTAATTTTTCGTTAAGGATGTGGTCTTTACACTGTTCGTCATTATAAATTTTATAAATCTCGAACTCCTCCAAGGTGTCAAGTTTGCTACCTTTCCCACAGACATGTAGAATTTTTAAACCATCGTCAATGCTACTCATCGAGTGATTTGAATCAACCAGGTGTTGTGCAAAGGCTGATTTTTGTTTGACCATTTTTGGAGTTGGCCTATGTTCTCTGTAGCGGGTTTCAAATGCCCGACCCGTCTGGCCTATATATTTGCATGGGCAATCTGGGCAACTGATCTGGTAAACACCGGTGTTGTTTAATTTGTTGCTGGACCCTTTATTATGCAAGATGTTCCTGAGGTATGTAAAAAACCTATTATTGTCTGAAAAATAATTGTTTTGGACGTTTTGGTTCAGCCTTTTTTCACTATCACCCTGTTGTATGGAAGTGCGTATGTCAGCAACAGTAGTTTCCAGGTTGTTACCAACGTCTCAACAAAAACTCCCTGCGAATCCCTGTCATTAGGCTCCGCTTCAGATTTGGTCTCGACCTACTCTGGGCCCGGCTTTCACATCATTAGGCTCTGACTTGTGAACCCGTTTTTTGGTTGTCGCTTATATAGTCTGGGACCAACGTCTGGTCGCGGACTATGAAGTCCCTAGCTCGTGAACCGCCCCTAAATATCTTATGTAATAGGTTAGGTTAGTGACTCTATTCATGTATGTGTATTGAGCCGTGACATGCCCACCAAGCGTCCCACCAATGTCACGCCTCAGTGTTTTTGTATAGTGCGAGTGCTGGCCTTGCTCCGGAACTCAATCGGTTTGGGTCGGGCAGCAAACCTGCAACCCAGAGTGAATGTCCGCTTGACTTGTGAACTAGAAGACGTGCGGCTGTCATAGGTTACTGTCAAGATTTTTGTTTAAGGTTATGTCAAGTTATCTTTTACGATCCTTTCAGTTTTTCTACTGTGTTGCTTACTAACCTAATCTTCAGTAAAATGTAGTTTAGTGTGCCGAGAACGTCAGATGAGGTCCCGGATGTGAGGCTTCACCAGCCGCTGTCCTCGGAGAGGGTCGCCCGGAGGGACACTCCATCTTCTGCCTCCTTGGGCTGCCTACGGCCCAGCTTCTCCGGGGACCATTAAGCTACTCACCGTCACCCACCACCACCGCCTGCCACCAGCAAGGATAATAGTTGTGCCACGCAATACGCAAGTTATACTTTGAAATTACGAACATTTTAAAAAACTTTATATTTGAAGGGGGCCCCGCAAAATGATCGATTCTTCGTTATTTATTTTTATAGTATTGTTATTTATTTAATTGTTAATTTTTTCAAAGTTTAAAGTATATTTACAGTTACCATCTTTAATTATTTCATTGTTAGGCCTAATTTGTTACTGGTACCAGTTTTTGTAATTCAGAAGGGTAAATTTTTTGAAAGATTTTTAAATGAATTCTTTGGATGGCTGACATTGTTGATTATTGTTATTTGTTGATTTTTGATTAATTATAGGCTTTGTTGACAACTGTTTGTTTGTTTTTAATATTCACCCACGGCCTTTCACTTTTGTTAGGGATGTGGGGCGGCCACTCGCACTGTCACTATGGGGGGCATGCTTCCAATAGTTGTTCGTCTGGGGGCGGTGCGAGGGGTCGGCTCAGATGGTAGCAGAGCGTGGTTTTTTGTGCTCTATCCACGAAGGGCCGTGGTTGGATTTGATTTTTGGGTGATTCTGGTCTGGCAGTCTTAGGAATTTTTTGAAGAAAAGTTGTTGTGGTGGGGTAAGCACACTGTTGTAGTTTTCTATTAGGAGCTCGCCCTTGGCCGAGTCACCGGGTGGAATCTGGTTAATGACTTGCATCCTTTGGGAGCAAGAGTGTCAAAAGCATGGCCAAACCCAAAATTGAAACTGTGTGTGTGTGTTTACCTCATCACACAAATGTTAGGTGTTGTCGTTTAGTGTATGTATGTATGTGTGTATGTGGTGAGTGTAAGTCCGTGTTTTGTTTTGGTGGCTAAGGCGGTGTGTATGGGCAGGTTCTTCTGTTTGGGACCTCATCTGACTGTAGGCATTTCAGTCCAGAGTCTTTAGTTATTTAAGTTTGTGAATTGTTCGTTGTAAAAAAAATTTTGTTGTGTGTGTTTTGAAGGTAGACCGACTGACTGAGAACAAAATGGGTTTGTTTGCTCCACTGCCCAATCCCATTGCTGGGGTTTTGAGCGACATTCGCCCGGTTGATGGTTTAGAGGTGGAACCTTTGTTAGAGTTTTTGGGAAAGGTGTTGCACCTGAAGGAGTTCCCAGGCATGGAGGACTCAGTAGTGTTGGAACTGCTGGTTCCACTCTGCCTGAGACCTCTTGGTGACAAATTGTTAGACTGTTTGAAACGGGGAGTAAATTTTGACAATTTTCACAGTGAAGTGCTTGAGCTCTTTGTCCCCTTCAGGGTCATGGAGAGATTGAAGGTTGAGAGAGTGTTTCGACCTCAAAAATTTGATGAAACTCTCAGTCAGTATGTGGGTGACATTCGTGGCGTGTGGCGTGTCCTACGGCTGGGCATCCCTGAAAACCAACTGGTGGACATTGTCTTGCAGGGGTTGAAGCCTGAGGAGCGGTCCAGACTGATTTTTGCTCCGAAGCCTTCTTCTTTTGCAGACCTGGATAGGCTGGTCATCCTTTCACGGAGCGTTCAAGACGCTGATTTTCAGAGGGAGCATGTTCCGGGGCATCTTCCCCAGACTGTTCCCCATCCCGTTGTAGCTTCCGTGGGTCAAGGTCCTGAAATACCGCAGAGACAGAGGCATCCTATTGTTTGCTTTGGCTGTGGTCAAACAGGTCACATGAGACGAGTGTGTCGTCAGAGGGTCAATCTTGCGACTTTGTCCAAAAACCTGAGTAGCTCACAAAGGGAAAGTTTGCCTAAACCGCCCTGTGAGAAAGCTGTTTTGGAGAAAGTCAGCAGGAATTTGGTTTCTCTGAGTACTGCCCCTTCTGGGAGTGCTGGTTTTGGGGAGCCTCTGTCGCGGGGAATGAGGGAGCTTGCATGCATGGGAGTGAAAGCGGCGCGCTCAACTTGCCCACGACTCAACATCTTCTTAGGTAAAACGGTGCAGAAGGCCCTTGTGGATTCTGGGTCAGCCCGTTGTCTCATTTCCCTTTCCCTGTTTGAAAATCTAAAATCTTCTGGGCTAATCAAGCAAGTTGAGCGAAGTACCCACATCTGCTGGACTGCATCGAAATCCCCACTTCCTATCATCTATGAAGCCCGTTTGAAATTCAAGATTGAACATTTTTCTTGGGTGTGGAGTTTTTGGGTAGCCAAGGACCTTTGCATACCTGTCATTTTGGGAGCGGATTTCATCAAGCATTGTGGCCTGATTTTGGATTTAGGCAGAGGCCAGTGCTTCTTTCGTTTCGCAAGACGGGTGCTCATTCCTTTTGCGGATGAAATTGTGGATGGTGCAGCTGTGGTCGAGCCTGAGACACCCAGCAAACCAAAGGTTGATCCATTAGGGCATCTGACTCCTGGTGAAGCTGAAGCTATCAGAACATTGTGTTCTCGTTTTCCTGAGGTGCTGACGCCAAAGCTTGGAGTCACCAATCTTTTGGAGTACGAAATCCGTTTGACTGACACCCGTCCAGTTCGTTCTCATCCTTACAAACTTGCTCCACCCAAAATGGAGACACTCCGTGGAATCATCAATGAGCTTCTTGAAAATGGGGTAATTGAGCCTTCTCGCTCAAGTTACGCAAGTCCAGCTTTTCTAGTTCCAAAGCCAAATGGCAAGTCTCGAATGGTTCTAGATTATCGCAAGTTGAATGCTCAGATTGAAATTGACTCTGTCCCTCTCCCTGATTTGCACTCTGCGTTCGATTGGTTCGGTAAGGCCAAGTATTTTTCCGTCTTTGATTTGAACCAGGCTTACCATCAGATTCCTTTGAAACCTGAATCTCGACCTCTCACTGCCTTCTGCGTTCCGTGGAACTTGTACCAGTTCACACGTGTTCCCATGGGCCTAGCTGTGGGAGCCCAGACCCTCACCAGACTTCTGGACTCCATCTTCCATGACGTCAAGTTCAAATTTGTGTTCAACTATCTTGACGATCTTTTGGTGTACAGTGAGAGCTTTGAAGACCATCTGGTTCATCTTGAGGAAGTCATGAATAGGTTGCTTAGGGCTGGCCTTACCGTAAATCCCGAGAAAGTTAGTTTTGCTCAGGCTGAGATTTCTTTCCTAGGTCATCTAGTATCTTCACGAGGTGTCTGTATCGATCCGGCTAGAACCCAGGCTATCAGGGAGTTTCCTCCTCCCAGAGATGTCAAAGGCATTGCCCGTTTCATTGGCATGGTGGGTTTCTACCGGCGTTTCATCCCCAATGTGGCTGAGTTGGCGGCTCCTCTCAATGAGCTTCGGAAGAAGGGCGCCAAGTTTGTTTGGGGTGAAGCACAACAGATGTCTTTTGATCTTCTGAAAGAAGCTATCATGCAACCCCCGGTTTTGGCGATGCCAGATTTCAGTCGAAAGTTTGTTTTGCAAACCGATGCTTCCTCCGTCGCTATTGCGGCTGTGTTGTCTCAAGAGGTAGATGGTGTTAGGCAGCCAATTGCGTATGCCTCACGCACTTTGAACCCATGCGAAAAGAAAAGCTCTTCTGTGTATGAGTTAGAGTGTTTGGCTGTCGTGTTTGGAGTGAATAAGTTCAGACGTTTTTTGGAACATAAAGAGTTTTTGCTGGAAACCGACAACCAAGCACTCTCGTGGCTCCTTGCACATCCTCGCCAGCTTGGGAAAATTGGTCGTTGGGTGGTCCAAATATCTTCCCTCAAATTCCAAGTGCAACATGTTCGAGGCACGCAGAATGTGATTGCTGACACTTTATCAAGGATGTATCACTCACCTGACGACCAACCTTCTGATCAGGAGGAGCACACTGGGTGTGCCGTGCTCCTGGAGTTTCCCCTTGCCTTTTCTGAGTTCATCCCACATCAGCTAAAAGATCCCGAGCTGGCTAAGATCATTGGTGAGCTTCAAAATGGGGGAGCCCACCCCCCGTATTTTCTGTCCCAGGGTGCCCTTTGTTGTCGAGACCGACAGCGAGGTAAACCCAAGATTGTGCTGCCTAGTCTTCTTGTACCCATGGTCTTTGCGTACTTTCACTCTTCCCCTGTGGGTGGGCACTTAGGGATTCACAAGACCATTGCGAAGGTTAGGGACATGTTCATCTGGAAGGGTATGGACAGGGACATTGCGGCACGAGTACGTTCTTGTCAAACATGCTCGCTAAGCAAGCCTGCTCAGAATACCAAGTATGGGTTGTTGTCATCTGAGGTGGCGGAGAGACCTTTGGAGAAGGTTTTCATAGACTATGTAGGGCCTCTCCCACGTAGCAAGTCAGGAAACAAATTCTTGCTTGTTTGTGTGGATGCCTTCTCCAAGTTTTGTTGGCTTTTTCCTTTGAGGAACGCCACTGCACAGCTCACCGTGCAGGCACTTCGTACCCATTTGTTCCAACACTTTGGAATACCCGCCACCATTGTTTCCGACAACGGAACTCAGTTCGTGTCTCACCTTTTCAAAAGAATGTGCTTTGGGCACGGTATCCGCCATGTGACTACTTCTCCTTACTATCCACAGCCTTCCCATGCTGAGAGGTTCAACAGAAACCTTCGATCCGCTCTCATAGCTTTTCATGCTGACAAGCAGACCACCTGGGATCAGGAACTTCCTTGGATCCAATTTGCTTTCAATACTGCACACCATGAGAGTCACAAGGCGGTCCCTTTCGAGCTGTTGTTGGGCTATCCACCCAACAATCCCTTGGCAAATGTGTGGAAAATTGGCGACCTTCTGCCACCCCCTGGTGCAGCCAATGTCAAGGCCACTTGGCAGGCGGCTAGGAGGAACTTGATCAGAGCTAGGGAATTGGTCCGGAGGAAGCACAATCGAGGTCGGTTGGACAATCCTTTCCAGGTGGGGGATTTGGTTTTCTGTAAGGCTCATCCGGTCAGTTCGGCCGTGGACAAGAGAGCCGCTAAGTTGTCTCATCGGTGGTCAGGTCCCTACCGCATCTTGAAGTTCTTGACTCCTGTCTCCGTGCGGCTTGGAAATCCGCAGACTGGAGAAGTTTTCCGGAGGGCTCACATTTCTCATCTGAAGCCTTTCCGGGGAACAATTCCGTAGGTCATCTTTCTTTACTCTTGTGTCTGAGTGGGAAGTGCACTGGGCCAGAGAGCTTGATCACCTCTTCTGTCCCTTGTGCGCTGCTGAAGATTTTTCCCTAGTAAATTTTCCAGCACTGGCCAGTGCAAAGCCTGGGGGTGAGTAGTCCCTCCAGTTGAAAGACTTTTGGCGTTCCCCACTTCAGACACTTGAGTTGATCTGTGGTGTTGAGATCTTCTAGAATTGGGAGAGGTTGTTTTCTTTTTTTTTTGGAGAGGAAGTCCTCCTTTGGGGGGGGA